ACAAAATATGTCTGAAAGTATCTTAATGGAATGTATGTAAGGGAAGAAAAGTGAGTTACATATATCAATTCTTGGAATGACCTAATATAAAATTCTGCAGATTTACCCTTACAAGCTTGGTTATGTAATTTGACCTAAATCATTGTCATGATTAAGGCCAATATTTACCACAATGAGATAGTATGTTGATTAACTGACCTATTATAGTATTTTCAGGAGCACATAATGATAAGTGTCTTAATTGTGACTAAATTACAGGCAAAGCGTTTGAGAAAGTCATTGTTCCCACATAAATCCCAGTTGACAGCATTCACCATCAAACCTATCACTTTTACTAAAGCTAAAAGTAGGGCTATTATTTAGATTTAGATCCAAAATATTATCCGTATAGTTTTTATTTGTTTGGAAGAAAGGGACAACTTAAGCACAAAGTTACATCCATTCTTTACACAGATCCCTTTTTCTTTGTGCCAACAGCTTTAATTTAAAGGATAACAATAAATTTCAATTTCAGAGGTATAATTATGTTGATCATATTGGAAAAACATGAACCAATACATTTAGTTTTAAGATCTGCCAACTGATCACATATAGTTTACCCGTGTTTATAGAATTTGTTGAGCATTTTAAATTCATAAATAATATTTAGCTTCTGAATAATGATAAATGCATACATCTATGCATATATCACCCATAACTAGTTAAGAATATTTTATTGATTCAATGAGCAAAATCTGATCATAAAATATATGCCATCAGAGTCCAGATATATAGCAATAAAAAGCTTAGATTAGAATATCTCACAAGTCTACATTAGCAATGATACTGTTATAAAATATTTATAACATTTTCTGATTTAAAAAAAAAGTCAGAGATTCATTCAATATCTTTCTGGCATTTGAAATGACACCTCTTCACTCTCCACACAACTGCTGATAGAAAATGACTCTAGACAAGGTCCCAAACAACTAGCATAGAGGGGAAATGGTTAGATCTCTGGGGCATCTTTATATTTTCACATTAAAATTCAATGTTATTAGGGCCCAAGTAGATAAATAATAAAAGTGGCATTCAAACTGGGTGTGATAGCATGTGACTGTAGTCCTAGCTACTCAGGAGGATGAGGTAGGAAAATCACTGAGACCAGGAGTTCAAGGTCAGCCTGGGCACCCTAGCAAGACCCCATCTCTTTAAAACAAAAAAGCAGCAGTCATAACTAGTGAGGAAAGTATAAATTATACAATCAATGAAGGGGACATTGGCCAATTGTTTGGTGGGGGAAAATATACCATGTGCCAAAATAAGTTTCTGGTGGATTAAAAATTTTACTATCAAGATTAAACCATAGACTTACTAGAAGAAAATATAGAAAAAAATTTATGTAATCTTGTGAGTGGGGATTATATTACATGAAACATAAAGCAAAGATTGATTTTCAAATGCATAAACTAAAAACTGCTTCAGAAATCACTAAAAAATGGCAAATGCCAAATGGCAAGGGGGAAAAAAAAGGGACTAAGAGTTAGTCTTACAAATCAATAAGGAAAAGATAAATAGCCAAGTAGAAAAATGGGCAAAGGGCTTCTACCGGTACATCAGAAAAGAATAAAAAGGGTCAATAAAGATAATTGTTTTGTTTTCATCAATAATCAAAAAGTACAAATAAAAGCAATATTAAAACACCATTTTTGCCTTTCTAATTGTTAAGGGTTATTTTAAAAGATAATGTCAAGAATTAGAGAAGGTACGACATCTGTTCTGGAAAGCTCTTTGACAAAGTATCTGAAAATGCATATCTTTACCAGCAATTCCACTTCAAAATAATGCTAAGGAAATAATTAATGATGTGTGCCATAAGATGTTCATTTTAGTGACCTTCCTCCCTCCCCCCTTTCTCTCTTTTTCTTTCCTTATCTTTTTTGGTTTATGTTTGATATTAGTGAAAATGGAAAAGATTAAAATGTCCAACAAAAAGACTGCTTAACTAAAGTATAGTAAATTCATTCAACATCCAATAAAAATGACACCATAGTTAATATATTTGAAAAGATGTTCACAATATATGGTTAAGTAAAAAAAAAAAATCAGGATACAAAACAAAATGTATTGTGGGAGGGGCCTCTCTCTCCCTCTCTCCTTACACCTCACTACACCACTCCCACCCCCACATGTACACATATTAGAAAGGTACTGGAAAGACATAGTAAACCATGGATAACGAAGATTACTAGATCATTAAATGTACTTTTGCCTGTCTTTCTTTTCTTTTCTTTCTCTTTTTTTTTTTGGAGACCAAGTTTCACTCTGTCTCCCAGACTAGAGTGCAATGCTATCATCATAGCTCACTGCAACCTAAACTCCTGGGCTCAAGCAATTCTCCTGCCTCAGCCTCCCAAGTAGCTGGGACTACAGGCATGTGCCACCATGCCCAGCTAATTTTTCTATTTTTTTGGATGACAGGATCTTGCTCTTGCTCAGGCTGGTCTCGAACTTCTGACCTCAAGTGATCCTCCCACCTTAGCCTCCCAAAGTGCTAGGATTACAGGCATGAGCCACTGTGCCTGGCCTATTTTCTAACTTTACATCAATTGGCAGGAATTATTTTTTTGATAAGCAAAAAAATTTTAAATTTAAACATATGTTACTTAGTATTAATAGATGACTTTTCAAAGTATATAAGAATCATCAGCCTGTTGGTTAAGTATATTTTAATTTCAGCATCTTGATAATTGTGATGCAAAATTCAGGGAAAAAGTTTGAATCCTAAAGTGCTGTAGAATTGGCAGATCATTTTTCATTTCATAAGTTATTACTTATAATCACTATTTTTTATTGTTGCTATGGCAATGTTTTATACACAGGAATGACTGAGGTTAGGAAATTGTGCCCTAAAAACCATATCAGAATATTAACTATGAAGTAAATAATGGTTTCCTGCTTTAAATATCACAAAGATATGGGAAGCAGTGGGAAGCAAGAAGCTTTATGTCACCATGGGGATAATTAAGTTCTCCATGGTGCCGTGCAAACCAACCTCACTCCAGCTTCAGGGTCAATGACTCACTAGCTCAGAGGGAAATCAATAAATATTTAAGCAGATACCTACTATCTGTACAAAGTGATTCTCATTACCCACAGAATGGTAAGCACTAAGTTAAATCCATCCTTTACATAGATCCCCTTTTCTTTGTGCCAACAGCTTTAATTTAAAGGATAACAATCAATTTCAATTTCTGAGGTATAATTATGTTGATTATATTGGAAAAATATGAACCAATACATTTAGCTTTAAGATCTGCCAACTGGTCACATACAGTTTACCCATGTATATAAAATTTGTTTATATACCCATATATATAAAATAATATTTTTAAAATATTATTTATTCAGAGAAATTAAGCAAATCCAATCTAAGTTAGTATTTTTAAACATTCTAGTTGGGGAGTCCTTAAGGTACATCAGAAAGCAAATTCACTCCAGAAACTACTATGTACAGATCAAGAATTAAAATCATTAAACTAAAATAAAAAGACATTTCTAGTGCTTCAAATATTTTTAAAAATAGCATTTCTTAAAACAATCCCCAGGGTAGTAAGTAGTTCATTGTAAGGATCTATGTTATTCTGGGGCCAATCAAGGGAGCTAACAGTCTATGTGGGGAGCCAAGATAGTCATTCATCAATTCATTCATTCAGTAAAATTTATTGAGAAACTACTATGTGCCAAGCAATGTCCTGGGCACTAAGCATTAAATGATGCCTAAAATATGGCTCCTGCCCTCAAATAGTTCACATTTAGAAGGAGAGATAAGATGTATAACTAAATCACACATATTTTAGGCCAATCTCAGTGATTGCTATATCCACTGTTCCTAGCAGAATTTCTCTGGCCAAGGCCCCAGATGAATAAGCAGCTGAGTGGCCATGTTCTGCACAGAGTGACCAACCTACCTCTTTTCCCTACCTGCTTTCCCTACCAGAGCTGAGAAAAAAGTCTTGGCTCAAAAGTTTCTCCCAAGAGAGGGGCAGGGGTAGTGATCAGATTGTCTCTTTAAAAGTTTCCACGTGGAATACGGAGAGTGAGTAAGTAGGTAGTAGGAACTGAAGTTGAAGCTGAAAGGATTCATAGAGAGAGACCATTCGTTATGTCTTCAGTAGACCAAAGTTATGAGAAAGCAAAAGGCCTGCAGTACATAAACAGGGGAGGTGCTCAGGAGTTGGTGGTAGCATCATTGAGGGAGGAGAAATGAAGAGAATCATCATTACTGCCATGGTGGAGGATTAATGAACTGCAACTGGAAAAGGGCCAATGATATGACCCAGTTCTTAGGACTGTCTCTATTCTTGAATATAATTATTTAATATGAGACAATTCTTATCATATAGCATTAGGATAATAAAAAAACTCAAATTTCATAGACTTCTGTTTCAGCATTGAGAAACTAATGGACTCAATTTCCCACAATAACTAATGATAAAACTGGATAAAATAAGTAGAAACAACTGTTTTTAGACATTGGACAATAGATAAGCACAAAGTTGTGTTCCTTGAGAGAACAGACACAAAGAAGTGTAAATTACAGCAAATGAACATTACTTCACAAGCAAAGAAAATATTAAACATCTATTTAGAAATAGTTTGCATTAATCCTCAATAAGCACTTTATTTCTAGAGTAATCTATATATAATCTAGAAGCTCTCATGTGTAATCCAACATTAATGTATGATGATAGTGCATCAGTGAAATATTATTTTAAGCTTCCACAAGTGACCATAGGAGAGAAATAGTTAACATTGGGCCCACTGAAATACTATGAGAGTTACTTTTATAAAAATTAGGCTATAGTCTCCATAATGGATTATACAGCTAATTTAATTCTCTAGAAATCTACCTATAATCTTACAAAATATTTACAGATAATCAGCTTCAAGTTCAGACTTGGAAATAAACAAAAGAACTCCACAGTATTTGCTTGAATCTACTTAGATCAATAATATACCTGAAATTTGGTAGCTTGTGTGAGCAAAGACATACTGCGCATTAACACTGAAGGAACTGCTGTGAAAAAGAAGGGTAGAATGATTAGCACTGAAACCACTGCATCTTTATAATGAAGGAAAATTTTCTTCATGCAGATGTGAATAATACTTATTAACAAATGAAATACTGGACCATGTAAGTGGAGAATACATAATTTTGGCTGTTATGGACAACATAAAGTCATATATAATCTGCTCATCATACAAAACTAATTAGTATTCCAAAGTACCTTACTATTACTAATAAAAGATATATTAACCCCGCTGTGCTATTAAGATATAGGCTGAGATTCTGTAGCAAAGAAATATCTCACACAATAGATCATAGGTAAGTGCTTCAGGCTGCTAGCAGGGTTCTGCTCCATGAAGCTATTCGGGGTTCCGGTGCTTTGAATCCTTTTGTTTTGCCATTCTCTAGGGTGTTGTCCTCATTTACATGGTCCAAGTTGGGTCTGAGTTCCAGTCTGTGTGAAGGGAGAAAGAGAGACACTGAAGGGCAAGCAGTTTCCTTTTTAAAGGAAACATCACTTAGTCTATGTAAGTGATGTGGAAGCAGGGCATCTTATAATCCAATGGTAAGGATTTAATTTCACCGTACTTAGTGGCAAGGGAGGCTGGGACATATAGTCAGCCTGGGCAGCCATGCACCCAGCTAAAATTTAGTTATTATGAAAAAAGGGGAGAATGGATTAGGGGGGCAAATAGTCATCTGCTACACTGATATGTAGGCATACACTGCGGGTGGAGGTGAACTAGGTTCAGTTTTTTAGGAGGAATTTTGTCAATAGGCATCAAAAGCCAGAACAATGTACCCAGCCTTCGACCTAAGAGGAATTAATCCTAAGAAAATAAAATACGCATGAAGATTTAGTTATAAGGATATTCATTTCAGAGTTATGTTAATAGCAGAAAAACTGAAAACTGTCTAAATATTTACCTGATTCCTTACTGTGGAGGAGAGCCACATATGTGTCCATGGATACCAAGTGACAACATCACCACATTTACTGGGCCAACAACCATAATCTCTCAATGTTTATAGGTCACCATTGCATGCTTTATCTATAGCATCAGATGTTGAGTGCCTCCTATGTGCCTTACCCTGTTCTAGAATTTTGACATAGCTTATTTAATTTAATCAATCCTGCAAGACAGGTATAAATATATAAATAAATAGAGGCTCAGAGAGTTTCAGGAACTACTTTAAGGTCAAATAGCAAATAAGTGATGTGATTAGATTTGAATCAGGTTCTTCCTACTGTGCCTCATACATCTTTTCTCATTTGTCTTGCCTTCCAGGATTGCTGAGTGGAGCACGTTGCTAAGGAAAAAGTAGTGTGCACATCACAGGGTTTCCCCGGAGGAACCTCACTTGAGGGGTTTGTGGGGAGAACTCTCAGCCCTCAGGATTCATCAAGGTGTTTATGTTTATAACTAGTAGAAACCAACTTGAACTATTTTAGGTAGAAAAGGAGAAATTAGAGCTGGGTGTGGTGGTTCATGCCTGTAATCCTAGCACTTTGGGAGGCCGAGGCAGGAGGATCACTTGAGCCTAGGAATTTAAGACCAGCCTGAGAAACATAGAGAGACTTCATCTCTACAAAAAAAACCACCAAACAAACAACAACAAAAAAAAAACAGAGAAAGAAGAGAGAAAAGAAAAGGAGAAATTATAAGAAAATAGGGCCGGCCGTGGCAGCTCATGCCTGTACTCCCAGCACCCTGGGAGGCCAAGGCAGGAGGACCACCTGAGTCCAGGTGTTTGAGATCATCCTAAGCAAAAGTGAGACTTTGTCTCTACAAAAAACACAAAAATTAGTCGGTCATGGTGGCGCATGCCTGTAGTCCAGCTATACTTGGGAGGCTGAGGCAGGAGGGTTGAATGATCCCAAGAGTTTGAGGTTGCTGTGAGCTATGATGACAGCGCTGCACTCTAGCCCAGGTGACAGAGACAGACTCCGTCTCAAAAAAAAAAATAGAAGTGTCTCATTGAGCCAAAGCAGGAATGTAAGCAGCCAGGCACCAGAAGGGCTGGCACTAGAAAGGTCAGCAGGAACTCAGAGAGAGCTTACTTCATTTCTCACTTCAATTTTTCCCTCAGCATCTGGTTTCTCAGTTATTCGAGCCATAGGGCAGCTGGCAGATGGCAGGCCACAGCTTCCGTGTTTACTTTTTACAATTCCAACCACATGGAAAGACTCACTCTCTGCTCTCATCCACACTTCCAAATTCCCTGGGAAGGGACTCTGCTCGGCTGAGTCAGCGGCCTATCCCCAATCCAGTCACTGTGACCAGAGGGAGCCTGGGGGATGTTGTATGCAATTCTGCCATAGGTGAGGGGACCAGTTAAGGGGTTCATCGTGATACATGAAGATTTTCCAAAATGTATCTGCAGGACAGTTCTCCAGGTGGTGTTGGAGGGAACCAGTGTTCCCCAACTTCTTGCCGTACTTACGAAGAATAACTATAGAATGCGCTGGGAATGCAATATCATTAGACAGGGAGGAACTGCCTGAAACAGCCTGGGCCTTGTTCCTGTCCTAAAGAATGTAACATCTTAAGTTAGGGAAGAACTGCCCTAGACAGCCTGAGCTTTGTTCCTTTTTCCCTTGGGAGTTCTTCAAAGCTTTGCCCAGTGAGTCATGTTGTTCCTGAGGTGTCTAACCCTAAGGTATATGACCTATGGCAGGCTGCCTTTTGGCGTCCTCTAAGGGGGTTGCAAGTGGGGCATAGGCAAGTCCCCATCTTCCCCAGGCAGCTTTCTTGAACCTTGGGGAACTGGCTCACAATGTATCCCAGGCTTCTTTTGTCCCTTGCTGCCTATCTGTAAGTAATAAATCCACTTCATATCACCTGTGTGTGGATGTGTTCTGTCTAACCAGTCACAGGCAATTGGTAAAAGTGCAGCTCAGGATGCAGTGCAGTGGGTAAAAGTGTTTGGACTGGTGGTTTGCCTAGTGATGATCTTTGCTGTCCTCCATGCAATGGGAGTCCTCCCATGGGCTTGGTTATTATGAAACTGCTTCATAGTGTCCACTACATGAGAGCAGAGCTATAGATCTTGTGCATCCAGGCAGGAATGATACTCCTCCCTTGAGGAAAGCAAATGCGCTGAGAGGTAGTCAGGGATGTGATTTTCTGCAGTTACACAGATGTACTTTTTTTTTTTTTTTTTTTTTTTTTGAGACAGAGTCTCGCTTTCTTGCCTAGGCTAGAGTGAGTGCCGTGGTGTCAGCCTAGCTCACAGCAACCTCAAACTCCTGGGCTTAAGCAATCCTACTGCCTCAGCCTCCCGAGTTGCTGGGACTACAGGCATGAGCCACCATGCCCGGCTAATTTTTTTATATATATATATTAGTTGGCCAATTAATTTCTTTCTATTTTTATAGTAGAGACGGGGTCTCGCTCAGGCTGGTTTTGAACTCCTGACCTTGAGCAATCCGCCCGCCTCGGCCTCCCAGAGTGCTAGGATTACAAGCGTGAGCCACCGCGCCCGGCCAAGATGTACTTTCTTGACATATCTCTTGACCTTGAAGGTCAGACTAAAAGGGAATTGAGAGAAGTATTGATATTTTATTTGTCTGTGACATTTCCTATAAAAATAAGCAGTTATCTTTCTCTACAAATGACAATCATCAAGTTTTTTCAAAAGAATTGATTTCGTCCCCTTTACATCTTGCTCAATTGATTTGGTGGTAACAAATTTAAATGCTTATAAATGGGCTGATTTAACTAATATATTCATTAATAATACAAAAGTATATTCTGATATTTGCAGTACCACTTATTGAGAAGTAGTAAGAGTTCATTTGTTATTTGCCCAGAAACATCTGCATATTAGCCAGAGATTACACTGGAAGAAAGACAGAGATGGACAGAAAAGACTCAGTCAGGGATAAAACTGGGATAGCATTTCCAATATATATATAAAAAGGCCAGTCCTTTTTTTGTAAATCCCAAAAGTATTATATTTGGAAAATACATATAAATAATTCATTTTGAAAATTATACCACCAATTAATAGCTTATGTGGCCTAAATATGTATAGGAATAAACTGATAAAATCTTAAAACCTTGAGCTGCTGTAACCTGGAAGGGTACTTATTAGTGTTACAGAAAATGGCGGTCATTTCCTATCCATTGGGGAGAGAGAGTTTTCAGCTGAGACTCTACAGACGGTCCCCAGTTTAGGATGGTTCGATTTAGGATTCCTTGACTTTACAATAGTGCAAAAGCAAAACACATTCAGTAGAAACTGCACTGTGAGTGCCCATACAACCATTTTGCTTTTCACTTTCGGTACAGTATTAAATAAATTACATATGATATTCAGCACTTTATAATAAAATAGGCTTTGTCTTAGATGATTTTGTCCAACTGTAGGCTAATGTAAGTGTTCTGAGCATGTTTAAGGTAGGCTAGGCTAAGCTATGATGTTTGGTAGGTTAGGTGTAGTAAGTGCATTTTTGATTTACAATATTTTCAACTTATGATGAGTTTATTGGGCCATAACCCCATCTTAAGTTGAGGAACATCCATAATTTGTAAATTATTCTTTTTACATAAAAAGAGAAGAGTTTAAAAGACCCTTCCCCTCATCACACTATGGGAAGAATACCTTGGAGAGAGAGACAATGGCCAGACCCCAGCAATGGGCAGAAGGCATTTTTTCAGAGAGAATTAAATCTTACTTAGCAGTGCCACTGATAAGGACTTAGTGCATAAGGTAAAATTTAGGTTTCAGTTGAAATGTCCCTTCCTCCAGGAAGCCTTTTTTATTCCTTTGAACTAAGTTTAAAGCTCCTGCTCTGAACTTCCACAGGGTTGCCAGATTGTTTGGGACATACTTATATTAATTAAAACATTATATATTATTTTTCTGAAATTCAAATTTAACCAAGCATCCTTTATTTTATCTGACAATCCTACCTATACTTCATCTTTTATTTTTTAAGCACCTACCATATTTCAATGTGATTGCTTATGTAAGAGAGTATATAAGAGCATAAGGGACTATTTCTATCTGGCTTACATTTGTTTCTCTAAGGTGTGGCATGGTTCTGGTCACATAATAGGCACCTAATAAAGATTTGTGGAATGAAAGAAAAAATGACTGCAACATTAAGTAGAGAATAAGCATTTTTGTAGATGGTTTTAAAGACTCAGATTCAAACAGGTAAACTTCTTCAGGTTGAACATCTTGAGATAAAAAGAGAAGATTATACAGAAGATTATATAGAATCTGGATTTGATTAATGCAAGAAAAGAAGACATCATATTAGACTAGATGAGAGAAGTTAGTCCCTAGCTTTACTGGCTTCTTATTGAGGAAAAACATAGAACTCCCACTACTGAGTATTAATTATGGTTTGTTAATGCATTCTGGAATTTTGCTGAAATTAACTGTCCAGTGAACTGTTTATAGTTCATACTCCATAGTGGGGACTCAGACTTTTTCAGCTAT